GACCTGTACTGCCGCCCCTGGCGTTCCTGATGGCAAAAAGCATGACACTAAATACAGTAAACTTAGACCTGTGCGGGACACCACCTCCATATTTTTGGATGTATCCACTGCTTCCCTTGCTTCTGTGTCATTGGCGTCGTCTTCAGCAGGCTGTATGCCTGCTTCTCTCCCGCGAGCTCCACCGGTTCAGGGCGGCCTTCCACGATTGACTGTCATGCCTTCATGCCATCTAGCAGCTTTTCGTGGAGATAGAAAGTCTGAGCAGAAGCGTTTTGAGGAGGCTTTTGGTAGACTTGCTGATCCCTGGCTCCTCTCGTACAACGCAGTGTACTCTGACGCTAGTGACGCTAGTAACTGTTGCATGTGCCGGGCTTCAATTTCGCAGATTCAGCGATCTAGCCACGTAGCACGAACACATTTTACTGGTGTGATACATAAACTCCGCTGTGGACGCACCGTGACTTTTACCCAGCACTGGCCGCGTCATGTGCCTGAAATCCACCTTGTGCTGCATTGCTCCATACAGCCAGAATTGTTGCAGAAAGAACAGTTGCAGGAGGGCCTTATAAGTATAACATGTGATGCATTCGCTGCATGCGATTGCCGTGCACTGACCACGCGTAGGCAGCTTTAAAGTTTCCTAAACAATGGTTTATTTAGGCAGAGGGCGACCAATTCTTAGTGCAAATAACACGAAGCTCTAGCGCACACCTTGAGCTTCCTTAAATGAAACCTATCTGCGTGAGATCCAAGCAGCAGCTCCCGCACTAGCGACTTCCTCGTGCAATAATGCAGTGCTTTCGGAAACCTTCATATGGCCTGCAAAGTTAAAGCCGTTCCTTGGTATGCTGGAGGAGAGTGACGCTCAAGCAGAAGCCCAAGAGAGTGAGACCAAGATAGCCATACGGGTGGTTTTACCAAGACAGACGCTGCGACAATTCATTGTTAAACCATACATGTGCGTGCCTCTCGGCGGAAGTGTAGGCGTTCAAGCAAATTGGTTCAGTGTGCCTATTCCACGAGTTTATGGTCGAAGGGGCGCAACTCCGCACAGGCTGGGACTAACCTAGTCTGCTGGGCCACTGGATGGCCCAGCAGACTAGGTTAGTCCACAAGCCTTTGCACACAAGTGAACTGAATTTTTGCGCTTAATTCTTGCCCGAGGAACAAATTCATCCCCAACTCTCTACGTATGAGCCTCCAGAGCATCGGGCTCAAGTGACCCGTGCAGCTCTGGCAAATTCTTCTGGCGGTGTCCCTTGCTCAGTGTTGCATGCCTATTTATGAAAAGCATTTGAAAGAGAAAGGATAAAGGGTTGAGGGACATTTCATGAGGAGAAAACGCCATTTGTCTCGGCCAGCTTGAAGCTATGTTTAATCACTGTGCTTCTACTCACGCGGAGTCAAAATGATTACACGCTGGACGCTCGCTGTCACGTGGCTCGCATTTTGGGCCACTTCTCCAGTTTACTCTTTGCTTGAGAAAATGCCTTACAAAACAGGAGAGATCAGTGGGCACCAGAATTCGACAGAAACAACAGCGGTAGAACTGTTGAACAAATTTGCAAGAGGGGAAGATGGCGCCTCAATAATGGCAGAGGGCAATTCGACCGTGCGCAGCGTGCTTATCAGGAGAGAACCGGATGAATGTCATCATGCGAGCAGAGCCAGCGCAGAAGGTTCAGCTGGTGTAGGGACGTTCATGCATCCTCCTGAAGAAACAAGTATGACTCCTGTAATTATAGTTGATGAAACCGGCCGATCGTTCGGCCCTTGCCCAAAATCCGTCCTCCAGAAAAAGCCGTATTACAGCAGCAAAGCAGCTGCTGCGGAGATGCATTCGGGGCAGTCCATCTCTGGGAAGCATCAAACAAGCAGTGGACCTGACACGACTAGGCCTTGATCGACAGTTTAATGAAAAGACATATGAGTCACTGAACGTCTGTAACAACCTTTTCTTCTCGGGAGGCGAAGGTACGCGCGATTTTTCCGGTCCTGCTTGCTTTGTCACCCACCTGGATGAAGCATTAGGACCCTCGATAAAGCTAGTCTCCGAAAGCTCCACCCCAGGCTAAAAGCCGCACTTGTTCTCGCATCAAACCTCACTTTGAGGAGGAAAAAAAAATAATGGGTCCCTAATCTTAATTCCTCAATTACCTTGCATTTGGCTTGGCACGTCGTCGAAACTTTATCAGAAATGAACGTGAGTATGCTAGTGTCTAATGTTGGAAAGGCTCTAAATAGCATTGTCATGAAAAATCTACGTCTTCTTCAGTCCTTGAAGGATCTTATTTAATTCGTTTTGTCCCCCACTTTACACATATCCTACAGCAAATCTTAGGCGTGAGCCCTAATCCAGCTGAGCAGTGGTTGAGCTTTCTGTAGGTGAAGAATGCTGAATAGCCAACTTCAACATCCAGACAAGCGTGAGCGAGCAGTACTGTTTTACAGTATCCTTCTGATGACACTGCAGCTACTTCGTGCACTACATATGAAGAAGTTCCCGAAAAATCTTGGCAGGACACGGTGCGTTTCCCCAGCCCCGACAGCCCACAGTACAAGACGTATCCTATATACGGTTACTTGCATGCAGTGGGAGCTGATGTGTCATTTCCTCGAAGCATCCCAGTAGACTGGCAGCCCCGGGTGTACGATGGAAATCGAATGCCTCGTCGTGACATCGGTGAACGCGATAGCTCCGACTTTTCAGGAGACTGGAAGAAGCGAGCGTATAATTCTTGGCACAATCTTTGGGTTCATCTGGTAGTACATGACGCTGGGTGAATGTGACAATGGAGCCAACATCTCAACACAAGTACTTTCTTCTTCAAGCCGTGGAAGGTCACTTGTGTGGCTGCCCTGAAAGTAGCGAAAGTAGGTGACTCACACAGAGTCAAAACCTCCAAAGAGCGTATATCAGATCTTTGCCTGATTGCGAAAGGCATAACCTGCAAAGTAGCTCCACAGAGAAGCACGTGCTTGCTGTCATTGGCTAAAACCTTGTGAAGAGGTGCATTAATCACTCCGCCTGCAGGACTTCTGAGGTGCGACGACCTTTCAGCAAGGTTCCGTGTAGATCCAAGCATTCAGGAAGAGAACAATAAACATGCATCATGTCCACAGCACCTGATTGACACGGGCTTCTTTGATAAGGTTAAATTCCCAAGAGGGCGACTGACAGCACAGTGGGGTCGGGTGGACTTGTGGAAAGCCACCGGGTTACTAGGCTGGAACTGTCCAGTGAGTGAGGTCGATGTACCTTGCCCCCCGCAAATCTACCCAGGTAAGTGCGGGGTCGATGCAACTTCTATCAGACCTGTAGAAGCGTCATGGCTTTTTCGACTGGAAAGGGATTCAACATGGGTTACATGGGAAACGGATGAGACACAGAACGACTATGTGAACAGATTCTGGGCTGCTAGAGGCACCACTTTCCCTAAGATGTGTTGGTCCACTTCCGGCCTTACTGTGTGAGCAAAATGTTTGAAAACTATTTCTGGCTATATTGCCACAGTCATTTACATCAAGTTCACATAGCGGCTCTACCTCCCGCTCCTACTGAACGATCTCCCAGTTTGAATCCACCTAGAGCGCCATCGCGAGCGCCGGTCCGGCTTTTAGTCCCTGGAATAGCGGCTTTCGAGGAAGCGTGCTCGAATGCTGAGGATCCACAGTTGCTGATTCGGCGGTGGTCGCCTTCGTTCTGTGAATGATTTCGTGGGCATTGAACGCCCTGGGGAGGCCTGTGCCTTGCTCCCTGTTTCTCCGGTTTTACAGGTGTACACGTAAACGGTTTCTGTTTTGCGCGAATATATATGTTCTAATAGTCAAAAAGCTATGCCAGTTATTATGATAAGACCCTGATGGATATATATGTTTCTATAGCTGAAAGTGCCCCCAAAGTGTAACGAGCTGAGCCAAGCCTAGCCCATACATAGCATACATAGGTATCGTGCAGATCAGGCATAGATACACACTCGCTCGTCGACATCTAAAGCACCAAGTGAACTTTCAAAAGTGTTCCACAGACGCTCAGCGGGTTATTTTAGCCTGAGTCCGCGGCCACGGCTTAGCCAGCTGCCTCCGCCTTATCCTCTTAAGCAGTATCTCACTTTCCCAAAAAAAAGCAGCACAAACGGGCTGCAGGAGTTAAATCTTCTCTTCGCCTTGCTGCTGCTGCGCTTCACCTTCTAGCTGTTGGCCTAGGCTGCTGTTGCTGCAAGGCCAAACTGCCTATAATGCAAATGAGTACAAATGTTTTGCTGCGAATGTGAATAATTGCCGACACTTCTAGAAGAATTAAAGCTCTAATAGAATAGCTCCCATGGTCATCCATGGATCTGGCATTTTCTGGCTATTTTCATATAAATTGTCTTACTCCATTCTTTTAATTAGGCGACTTACCTGCACTGCTGCATGCATGCATGCATGCATGCGCATAAAGGCAAGCGGGCGGCTTTGGTCGATATGCAGTCACTGCCGCTTGAAGAAGGACAAATGCAACAGAAGAGTACTGACCACTGGTCCGATTTAGCAGAGGCAAAGGAGGTGGCAAAAAGTACTCCGAGACAAGATGCTTGAAAATAATCGGCAAACGGAAAACCTTAATCGCAGTAAGTCGAGATAGGTGAACAAATCGAGCCCGCATGCACCACTACATGCATGCATGCACTGCTGCATGCATGCATGCACGCAAGAAAAGTGGAGATCACTGCGGCGTCTTGAACGCCAAAATAGAGGCAACGCCACACCCTATTCGCAGCAGCAGCTCCAGCACTCTAGTGCTGCTGCTGCTGCTGCTGCTGGTTTGCAAAAAATTGTGCAGAACTAATGGAAAAAAGGCATCTTCAGGTCACTCCGCCATGAAAGCAAATCCGCGCATGCAGCAACTCCAGCAAAGACCGGGCAATTGCACTTGCATGCAGCAGCAAAGTGCCAGGGATGCAATTTGAGGAAAATGAAACTTTCCGGAATAAAAAATTCAACAAAGGGTTCAAACTTTAAACTCTGCGGGGCCCCCGAGCCCCAAATATTGCTGTGCCTATTCGCACTTGAGTGCTGCCGTTCTCTACTGCTGTTTGCATATCTCTTGACATGCCCATGCTCAGCTCGAGGTCTTCGCCTGAAAACAAACATTTCAACAAATCCATAATTCAATAAATCTTATCCCAATAAATATGTAGCTAAATAAATGCATACATTTCAATAAATCTGTATTTCAATAAACATATATAATTCAATAAACCTATATTTCAGTAATACATCTTGTAATACATATTGCGACAAACCCACAATTCAACAATTCTATATTTCAATGTCTGTATTACAACAAGTCTAATATTTTGCTAAATATGTAACTCAATAAAACAAATACATAATTCAATGAATCAATTCCAATAAATGTACATTTCAGTGAAAACGTATAATTCAATAATTCTACATTTCAACCATTCTAGATTTCAACATATCTAATATTCTAACAAATCTACAATTCAATAAATCTTACTTCAATAAATACTTGGAAAAAAATATACCTTTAAAAATCCTATTCCACTAAATCATATTTCAATAAACTCATGGTTCAACAATCCCATAATTCAATAAACCTCATTTCAATAAATATTCATTTCAATAAATCTGATACTTGAATAAATCTACATTCCAATAAATCTGCTCTTCAATGAGTCTAATATTTCAATAAGTTTAATATTTCAATGAATCTATATTTCAATAAATCTAGATTTCAAAAAATCTGTAATTCAATACTTCTTTATTTGAATAAATCTAATATTTCAATAAATTTAATTTCTCTTTTTTCTATTTTTTGTTCTAATCTGCTAATTTGTCTTTTGTGGTGGTGAGAAAAAAACCAAATTCTCGCCTTTGCGTCAAATTCAAATAATTCAAATCTTTTTATTCTAAAAATAAGACAAATGATTTACAAATCGAACTTTAGCTTGTGGAGTTCTTGCACTTGCAATTAAATTTGTTAATTGTGTTTTACTTTTTTTAAACTATTTATTTTAAATAAATAAATAGTTTTAAACTATTTTATTTTCCAATTGCAAAACTTGAAAAGTCCTCACCATTTAAGGCTGCAGCTATTTTCTCGTCTCGAGCTGCTTCTTCTTTTAATTCTTTCATCCTTTTGAAAGTCGAAAGGGCCTCATCAACGTCTTGAGGCCTGCAGGCAAACAAACCCCAGCTCTTGGGTTTAGGGTTTAGGGCTAGGGTTTAGGGTTTGGGGCTGTGGGTTAACCGCCACAGAACCAGAGAGCTCGTTCAGCAAGAAAACAATAAAAAGGAAAAACAAATGCAGGGTAAAACAATCTGAAAGATTCAAGATGAAACCTTTTAAATTAAAAGATCTAATTTAAGAATAACTTTCCATATTCTCCAAGATCATATCTTAAGGCACTCAGTGATAAGTTGGGGACTAAATGGGGCAGCAAAAGATTCCACAAATGCATTCTGCATGCAGCATTTAAATGCAAGCAAATGCCCGCACATCTGTAGGTGTTTTCGTGAGGGTTTAGGGTTTAGGCGCCTGCAAGACCACGTCTCGGGCGTGTTCTTGCAGACGCCTAAACCCTAAACCCTAGACCGCATTTGCATGAAAAGTGTGTTTTAATCCAGACTCATTTGCAAATTTACAAAAATGGAAATAGGCAGCAAAGGCTGTTCGACAGCAGCAGCAGCAGCAGCAGCAGCAGCAAATGGGTACTTGTGCTGCGCCTCACGCCACAGTCATGAATCCTCTGAACTTCAAATTGGGACATTTATCTAAAATATAATAAACTAAAGAAAGAGATAAATGTTTTGTGGAGTTCCAATCATCTCCGAGAACGCCGTTCTTCTGGGGCTCGCCCCCGGCGTTGACCTGTACGCACACCCCACGCATGCAAGTTACTGCAAATGTTTTGGCATTTTTAAAAATTAAACTAATTATAAAAATCTGAATCAATTAATCATGAGCTGCACTCCTCAAAGGCCTCTTATTATGCAAAAAAGTATGTCAAAATATGTTCATATTTCATGTCTTTATGAAAATATCTATAAAATCTGAAATATAAACATTTATATATTTACAAATGCGCTAACTGCATACATGAACTCAGCAACAGCTAAATACTTTTGTATTTTACCCCTCCCTAATATTACTTATCATTTTCCCCGCCATGCCTTCGCTGCAGCTGCCTTGCTGCTGCCGCTGCTGCTGCTGCTGCTGCTGCGGCTCACCTGCACCAGCACATTGAGATGTCTGTTGGCCTTTTTAGTTTCGCGCTGCAGCACTTCAGCCAATCTGACGGAGTCCACAGAGTCTACGGAGTACAGGTTGCGGACTCCAGCCACCAAGGTCTTCACTTTGTTCGTCTGCAGCTTTCCTGAAGCAGCAGCAGCAGCAGCAGCAGCAGCAGCAGAAAAACTGCTTCCTTTTATGCTACAAACTTGAGCCGCCCTGCACCTGCCGCGGCCACCGCAGCGACGAGAAACACGACACAGGAGCAGCAGCAGCATCACCTAACTGCTGCCGCTGCTGCTGCTGCTGCTGCTGCTAACTTACCAATCAAATGCCAATGGTAGTCCTCGGGAAGCTTCTGCGCCTTTTCAACTAATTCAGCAACATAGTTCTCCCCGAAGTGGCGGTGGCCTGTTGCTGCTGCAGCAGCAACAGCAGCAGGAGGGTGGGTTTTGCTGACGGCGATCAGCAAAGGCGCCTTAGCAGCAGCTGCAGCGCCACTTGCTGCTGCTGCTGCTGCGGCTTCGAGGTTTTCTTTAGCCTCTTTGAGCTGCTGAACTACATAGGCATATTTGTCCGCTGCTTCTGCTGCAGCAGTCGCAGCAGTTGCTGCGGGGGCTGCATTTGCTGCTGTGGCTGCAGTTGCTGCTGCAACTGCACTCGCTGCTGCTGCTGCTGCGGCTGCAGCTCTCAAGCTTGCTGCCATTGCTCCCCAGAGAAGCAGCAACGACAGCAGCACCGCGGGGCTTCCGTGTCTTTGTCTTGTTGAAAAAAACATTTGCAGAAACGGCGGAAGTAACGGCTTCTGCAAATCAACGCAGCAGCAAACCCTGCACACTCAGTGGCCCTGGCTAGCTGGCTAGCTGCTGGGCAGCTAGCTGCTGTTGCGTCACTAATCTGTCGAGCTCCATGGCTACCTTAGCTGGGCTGGCTGCACCTGTGGGCTCGGGGAGGCAGCAGCAGCACGCACCTTGCTGCTGTTGCCGACGTTCCTGCTGCTCAGGTCAGTGCTGCTGCTGCTGCTGCTGCTGCTGCTGCCGCAAATGCTGCTGCGGGCAGACGGAAGCTGCGCTGAAGACAGTCGACAGGGTTCACCGAGTCACCCCGAGTCTGCAACACCAGAGCCCGGCACCTGGAGGGAATTTCGGGAACTTGGAAAATAAAACAAATGAAATTAAACAAAACTTATGAATTAAAGCAACAAATGGAACCTGAGACACTCGAATTCGCGCGGCGACACCCGCGCAGCGCTGCTGCAGCTGATGCGGCGGTTGCCGCCCCAGCAGCAGCCTGCGCTGCATGTGCGGCCGCCCGCTGGAAGCCAACGGGAGCAGCAGCAGCAGCAGCAGCAGCAGCAAAACCAAATGCGCATTTGCTGTTTAGTATTTGCAGCAATTTAGATCGGGCATCGCTTGGCTGAGACCCGCGGGGCGTCAGCGGCGAGGGGAGGTGCAGCAAAGGCGGCACCAGGAGCAGCAGCAGCAGCAGCGCCGCAGCAGCAGCAGCAGGTGTCAGGCACCTGCAGCACCCCGTTTTTTCCCCTAATCAGGCCTTTTTAGACTTTTCAAAAGCCGCCAAACTTCTATTTAGAGAAAAGACCCGCTGCATGCAGCCACGCTGCCTGCTGCTTTCCTAATCCGTACAAGAAGACCAGAAGATGGTGCGGAGCTACAGCGCTCGTGGCCGCGGCGGCCAGCTGGGTGAGAGTTTCTGTCTTTCTTTCTCCTTTGTCTTTATTTCTTAAATCCTGCTCCGACTTAACTCCAATTCTCTTCTGTCTCCTTCCCTTCTCTCGTCCTGATCTGCGGGGAGACGCATGCAGACTCCACACGCCTTTGAGGCCCTCCGGGGGCCCTTGGGGGCCCCTGGGGGGCCCCCTGGGCTCCCGGGGGCCCCCGGGGGGCCCCGGGGGGCCCCTGCTGCACTTGTGGAAGTTTTTTTTGGGGGGAACGCTGGGCGGGGGTCCAAGCGAGGAAAGTCCCTGTGGGGCCCCCGGGGGGCCCCCCGGGGCCCCCCGGGGTTTGAAGTGCAGCCGCTGCAGAGGCCCCTCCTGTGCCCTGTGGGGCCCCCAGCTGCGAGGGACCCCGAAGTAGGCAGCAGCGAAGGGGGCCCCTGCTGCGGGGGCCCCTGGGGGGCCCCCTGTGGGGGCCCCCCTGGGGGCCCCCTGGGGGCCCCTGCACTCTTTGGGACGTCAGGCGCAAGGCTGTGGAGGAAGCGGTGGTGACCTGACGGTGTCGGCATTGGATTAGGGTTTAGGGTTTAGGGTTTAGGGTTTAGGGTTTAGTGGGTGTCCCTCCTGCAGGCCGAGCGTCTCCGTACCGCCCCCGGGGCCGAGATAAGATTATAGGCAGGAGCCGCGGCCTTGCTGCTGCTCGTTCGGGGCCTCTTTACAACAGAAGCAGGTGCTTAGCGGGTTTAGGGTTTGGGGTTTAGGGTTTAGGGTTTGGGGTATAGGCTTTGGGGTTTGGGGCATGGGGTTTAGGGCTTGGGGTTTAGGGTTTGGGGTTTGGGAGGGGCCGGCCCACATTTAGGGTTTGGGGTTTGGGGTTTAGGGTTTGGGGTTCGGGAGGGACCCGCATTTAGGGTTTAGGGTTTAGGGTTTAGGGTTTGGTTTGCTGCAGATACAACTCGCGCGCGCGCGGCGGCCGCATAGGGGGCCTGGGGCGCGCGATGGCT